ACTGTAATCTGAATTTGCTTGCAGCTCCAAAGGTTTTCAGTAATGTCTTCAAAAGAAACAATTTTCATAAGAATAAAACAGTTTCCTCAAAATTCAGATTTTACTGTATTTTTTCTCTTACAGAATATTCAAAAGCTCTTCCTGGTCTCTCCACTTCATATGCCACTTTGTTAAGAATTAAGAAGAGTTCATCTTCATCTCTCTTTGGTTCCAAAACCAGACCACGATACAGCAGCCCTCCGTTGGGAACACTGAGTGCTTCTTCACCCAGCTGGCGAGGGGCAGCTCAGCATTATTATTCCCCCGTCAATCTTTATCATTCCTCAGATGCCTTCAAACAAGATGGTAAGTGTCAAAGAAAAATGGCTCCAGATAGAATAAAGGAGGCAAAGAAGACTGATTTAAGACTCTTGCAGTAGAGATCAAGACTATTCCGATAGGAGAGAGTGATTGAACTCAACTCTGCTAAAAATGAAAACAGGAGAGTTTTTAAAGCTGGGGTGAGCTAGTAGAAAATTGGAGGATGATAGGGGAGATACTGGTTAACGTGACTAGGCCATCTGTGTTTATTGATTGGTGCTTATTGAAGTTAGGCTACTACCCTCTCATAGAGACTGGGAGATGGAGACCCTGTTTCTTGATGTTTACAGTTCAAATGGAGAGCTCCCAGGCCCTGAGACAGACATTACTGGGTTACAAAAATGACGAAAGCCTGGAAGACTATTTACATCTCAAAGTGGCAGAGAATACATTTACACTTGCAGCTTTCTAAAGTAAATGCTCTAAGGAAAGGGAGATTAGAAGACTATAGTCAGGAAGAAACCTGTCTAAAGTTTATAAAGGTGAGAGGAGTGCTAAGCTGTGTTGGTTGTAAGTTAGTCTTCTGCTCTAAACATCTTTAAAGAATTTGTGTGCATTATTATTTAATTGCACTGTATACCAATTCTAATTTAGGATTAAGACTAAATGCATTCATATACTGAAAGTAAAAATAGACATTTTTGGGAGGGTAATTTGACAGTGAATATCAGAAACATAAAACAGACTTATCCTTCAATCCAGTGGTTTTATTTCTGGAAGTGTATTCTGTGTAAGAAAATAATAAACAGAGCACATAATGATATGTATATAGCATATATACTATATGCTTAGCATTACTTAATGGAAAATAAGAAATAATCTATACATCCAACACTAAGATATCCGTTAAATTAAGGACTGATCTACAGCTATTAGCTTTATAGTTTGAACGACATTTTCTAGATGTTCTCTACCTTTATCGTTTTTGGATCTATCGACAAAATAATGCCTGGCTCATTAACAGCAAGACAAACTGGCACCTGTTATTACTAGTCTGTGTCCAGTCTGTTTTATATAGAAATGAGTTTCAGTTTTCTCAACACATATGTGAAGTAGATACTGTTACTGTCTTCTATAGAAATGAAAACTCTGGGACAGATAAGTATTTTTCACAATGTCACACTGCTAATAGGTATCATAGCCAATTTTTATTCACATCAACAATGATATTAAGACTAGTGCACTTAGGCTACATTTCATTTACGAACGATGAAAGAATAAACATTCAAAGATACATTTTAGAGGAACTTAGATACTGGAAAGATTCTGGGAATGACAATTAGGTGGTGGTGCCAGGTGCAGGCAAACTTGTCCTTTGTGATTATACCAATTGTTGCCATGTGGAGCATTGTCTCATAGTGTTGGCATCTAAAGTATATGTAAGCATTTTGTTAGAATTCCAAAAATGTTTTATTTTCCAAAATACTTAATGTGAGTTTTTTACTTTCTATTACCCTTAAGCCTAATATGAAATGTAATCAGTCAGAGATGTGTTTGGATTTGTTTTCTTTAGGCATTATTATTTTGTGGAAAGGCAGTAAGGTAGAAAATCGAGTGATAAGAACTATGATCTACTTTTATAGTTGGTATAATTTTCACCTAACTAGTGTTCTGCCTCCTTGTTCTCTAGTGTCAAATGGCAGTTAAGGTGGTCACAATGGTAAATATAAGTATGAATTCAAATCCATGGAAATAATGAGAACAATAAATATTGGGACATAAAATGGAGCCAGCTGTGAGACCAGTTCAAGGTGTCTACTATTAATGCCTATACACCTACTGTGAACTGGTCCTGTTTTGGGTAATTAGCCAGAAAAGAAAGAAAATCTAGTCAATTACATATTTCACAGTATTTCAAACATTAAAATGGAATTGTTATTCAGTAAAAGCACAACTCTCTGACACATTGATTAGACAGTTTTTTTTTTTTTTTCTGGAAAATCCTCATTAAGAGTTTATTAGATATGATGGCCAGTGACCTGAACATGACTTTTACTGTACCCGTGATAATAAGTTTCATCTGTTTCAATAAAGGCAGATGCAACCCAAACAGAAACAACAAAATGAGAAGAAATAATTCTCTAAAACTGTGCTCCTCAATCTTTACAAATAAAACCTCTGTTAAAATAAGACACGCCTTCAAAGATTGAGGTAGAGCAAGATAATCTCACTTACAAAAAGCTCCCATGTGATGGTGATGCTGCTGGTCTGTGGACGATACTTACTGAGTCACAAGGCTCTGGGCTGGGGATCAATTTAATATAACTTAGTCCTCTGCTAATTTAGTTTAATCCATATTTAGAGTATCAGGAAGAATGGATAATCTCAGTATTTTCCAAGTAATCTTGCGTAACTGCTGTTTTCTCTTCTGAGCATTTTATAAATCTTAGCTAGATGCGACTTTGAGTTCTTTCTCTCTGACAGGAGGCTGACATATGGCTTTTGTCAGGTAATTCCCTTTAGCCTTAATAGAGAGTAAAGCTGAGGTTGACATGCTCTTGTGAAAAATGAGGAAACTAACAGAGCCTGAATAGAAAATCATCCCACTCCTGTTCAGAGTTAAGCCAAGAAATACCCCAGACAGAGCAAAGATTTTTATGAAAAATATAAAGACTCAGCTTGCAGAGCAATTTGGTGAAGCAATTCCACTTCCGGATATACAACTTGGAGAAACCTTTCCATACGAGTACAAAGAAATAAAATGCATCTTTACTGCAATATATGTCTAAGAGTAAAGGTTGGAAACAACTCAGATGTCCATCAAAAGGGGAATGGATACATTGTATTTTTTTTAATTTAATGGAGAACTAAAACTGTTAAAGTGAATACAAAGAAAATGGATAGACCTCAAAATAGAGAGTGAATAAGGTGAGTTATGGAGTATTATTTATAATGTGATATCACTTATGTAAAACAATGGAAAAATATATCCTGTTTATGGATACACATAAGTGGTATAATTTTAAAACATGAATTTGAGATAGCAAGTTGACTACAGTGCTTACCACTGAGGACAAAGGGAGAATGAGAGCAGGAAATAAGTACCAGGAGAGGATTGAATATACATTATCTCAACTTAGTGATACTTTATTTCTTGAAAGAAAAAAATTTGAAATAAATATAACACCTGTAGTGACTAGACACTAAAATGTCTCACAGTAATTCCCACTTCTTGGCATTTACAGTGTAATCTCTCACTTTATCTGTTGTCTATGGCTATTAAGTTGCTTCTGGAGAATAGACTATAAATAAAGTAATGAGATATGACTCCTAACAGTGGGTTACAGAAGCCACTGGCTTCCATCTTGTTTGTTTTTTTGCTTTCTGGCTTGCTCATATTGATGGAAGTCAGCTCATGCTGAGAGCTGTCCTGTTGACAGACCCACTGGGAATGGCCTCTGGCCAACAGCCCAAGAGTAAGTGAAGCACTCAGTCCAACACTCCTAAGGAATGTGAATCCTGCGAGTAGTCACGTGAGTGAGTTTACAAGTGTATCCGTACCTATTCGAACATTGGGATGAGACAGCTTCCCACCTTGTGAAAGACACAGAGCAAGGGTTGAGCCCCACCTGCTTCCTTGACCCACGAAGGCTGTGAGGTAATCAACACATAATCTTTGTTCATTTTCTGGGCTTCCTTTCTACTATTTTTACTATAATTCTATATATCTGCAGAAAATCATTCTCATAGTTTCATAGCTTTAAAGTTTCCTTTACATATTTCCTCTATTTTAAATTTCTGTGTCATCTTGTGATCCTCTCAACAGGTTGGTATCCTTTTCTAGGAAGCCAGTTCCTCTATTCAGCCCAGATTTGTTTATTCAGGTCTTGATTATGCATTCTTTTTTGTTCTTCTTTATATTTTGTACAAGGCCTACTTTTTAGTCCTATTTGTTACATAAACAGATGCTGCAGAGAAAATCTGTAAAAAACAGCAAATGCTGCAATTAGAAGAGATAAAATTTCAATCTTTCTACTACTTACTCACAGTTTACATTAAATGTATTATACTTTATTCATTACATTAGAAATTGTGAAATATTTAAAATATAAAGGAAATAATTCATGAAAACCTCTTGTGACTATATATATTAACTTTATTAAACTTTAATCTTTTCCCAAATTTGCTTCAGTATTTTTTGACATAAAATTTAAGTTGAGAGTTCTTATTTTGCTTGGATTGTGTCTCCCACTTTCTCCACTCTTAGAGCAACCACTGTACTTACTTTGTCATTTATATGCATGTGTTTATATTTCTGTACATATGAAGCCTATAATATATGAAGCCTGTATTTCTGTACATATGAAGCTTATGTACTGTGTTTTAAAAAATTTATGTCAATGATTCTGTGTATATCATTCATGATCTACCTTTTCTGGATCAACAATATATCCTAGAGATTCATGTATCTTGATATCTTCAGTTCTGAGTTCACTTCATTTCCTATAAAGCATACTGCACTATGACTCTATTACAATTTCTTTATCCATTCCCTTTTTGTAAATATTTTGGTTGTTTCTAATTTTATGCTGTTATATGTCAAATGCATTTTTTCATGCCTCATTGGTAATTGTGTTAAATGTATTTTAGGAGTGCAATTTTTATATAAAAGCATTGTAACATTTCCAGATACTGTCAAATTGCTTTCCAAAGTGATTGACACTTGTACCAACATGGTATGAGTGTTCATATTTCTCCACATTGTCACCAACATATAATTTTTTGGCAGTCTCTTGAGTATAGTACAATATTTTATTGTGGTTTACTTTGCATTTTCTTGACTAGTGAGGTTGAAATTTCAAATATTGGACATTCTGGATTTTTCTAATGCATATTTCTTATTTACATATGTTGACTGTTTCTATTAGAATATTTTACTTTCATTGAACTGTAGGAAATTTACAGATTGATCTCTAATTGATTAAATGCATTGCAGATATATTCTCAGAATGTAGCTTATCTTTTTACTGTTTCAGTAGCATCTT